TGAAAGTTGGCCTCCAGAAACATACCTTGGCATCTGTGTTTCCCCTCCACCTGCAATATCATACACATTAGTAGTAACAAAAAGTATAAGTAAAACTATCTTAATTGTATATATATATGTATATATGTTTAAGTCTACAAAGATATACTAAAACTAAAAAGTGAGTTGAACAAGATTGCAGGCTGATGTTACAAAACTTGAGTTCTACCAACAGTTAACATGTTAGCAGCTCATAGTGGGAATAATTTAGAGTGTTTAGTAGTCATTTTAATTAAATAAATATTTATTCTATACTGAAGTATTGTTGGGATGGAAAGAAGTCCTGAGTAAGTAGATTCATTACATGGAAAAATTAGTATTATTTAGATCATTTAGGAGTGTTTGCCATCTGTAAAGTTGGAATCAGAGCAGTAAAAATTAGACCAGAAATTAACAACCTAATTTGAAAATGTATTAGCCGAAATAATTTTTTTAGGAAGATTGGAGGAGCTAACATTACCTGATATCAAATGCACTATAAAGCCACAATAATTAAAACAGTCTGGACTTGGCATATAGAAAAACTTGCTGTTTTATTTCTTTAATTGCATTTTTTCCTAGGTCTCTGGGGTTGGACTGAGGGCCATGTTCATGCTAGGTAAGCCTGCTGCCACTGAGTTGTAACACTGGCCCTTGATTTGAGATAGGGTTTTGATATATAGCTCATTCTGGCCTTGAGCCTGTCCCAAGGCTGGCCTCAAGCTCTGCCTCCCCCTCTGAGTGTGTGCCACCATATCCAGCTAGGAAGTATTTTTAGATAAATGTCACAGTTCGGAAATAAAACTACACATAGATGATAAGATGAATTTCAGCAAAGGCAGCAGGATGAAGCATTGAGAAAAAAAACATTTGTATGCATGTGTATATGTGTGTGTTTCTGAGTGTTGCATGTGTGTGCAGGCATGTGTGTTTATGAGAGTGTGTGTATGCACAAGTATGTTTGTGAGTGTGTGTGTATGTGTGCATATGTGTGTTTATGAGAGAGATGTGGTGTGTATGTGTGTGTATGTGTATGTGTTGTGTGTATGTTGGGTATGCATGTAGCAATCAGAAGACAGAGTTCAGGTGTCTGTTTTCTTCCTTGATGGGATCTAGGAATAGAATGCAGGTCACTGGGCTGCCAGCAAGCACCTTTACCTGATGAACCAGCACTGTCCCCCCACCCCCATTTTGTAAAGACAGTATCTTAAAAAATGGGGCCAATACAAGTAGACAGCATATGGCAAATGATGAACCTTGATCTTACTTTATATCATACACAAATATTAACTGGTAGTAGATCATTGACCTAAATGTAAGTGTTTAAAATGCAAACTATCCAGAAGAAAAGAAAATCCGTTGTCTTGTGTTGTGTCCGGCAAAGTTTTCTTCAGCAGAACAGGTCTAGTAAATGGTTAAAAGAAGAAACTGGTAATAGACAGAGTCAAGAACAAGGAGCTTAGTGCAGATCAGTGGTTGAGTGCTTGCTCTATGTTCAGTCTCCAGCACTGCAAAGACAGTAAGTAAAGAAGCATACTCATTTGGTTCATGTGCAGAACACTCAAAGAACTTTTACAACTCCATAATCAGACAGCCCAGCAAAAAAATGAGTAAACACTGACAGATGATCTGAAAAGAACGTGTGCAAGTGAGCCAGCCCTCTGTTCCCTAGAATGTAAATTAACAGGGCAGGGAGCTATTGCCTACTCTTTTAGTGAGCAAAGTTAAAAGAGTGACATAGATGGGGCCATCTGCTGCTGTGGTTCATGGCTGGGGAGGACAGAGGGCAGGAAAGCCATTGGCAGAAAGCCACACAACAGCTTCTTATGAAGCTCAACAGTAGTTAGCCTCAGAGTCTGAACAGAAGAAACAAATACAGATAAATACAGAAGAAGGAGAGGAGCGTAAAATAACAGCTGTCTATAGGTCTACAGGTCTTTCCTGTGATAGCATCATTCAGACAGCCTCAGATAGGTCAACCCTGCTCATATACAGGTACAAGTGGCATACATGAATCTCAGAAGCATCATGCCGGGTTAAACATTCCCAGAGACCTGAAGAAGAGCCTTTGTCATGACATCCGAGGAGAAGCAAAGCTTTGTCTTTGTTGACCAGTGATTTGCTTGGATCCCAGAATCTAGGTAGGAAATTGGTTGTAAAGAGACATGAAGGAACTTTGAGGTGACAAATGTTTTGGATGTTAACTACTTTAGTTAACATGACTATTTGTATGAATTCTTAGAGCTTGTCAATCTGTGCACTTGATGAACGAGTTTCACTTCCATTTGACAAAACTTGTAGAAAACAAACCACATACAGCATGATAATGTTTCCTTGTTTTTAAATGCATTGTGTTTCTGTGTGCTTAGATTAGATTATGCTACCATTTGTTTAAAATGGTCTCACTTGTGGGGGAAAGTGTCTGTTAAGGGGGAGCAAGAAGCTTGTCGGGGTTGTTATTTTATTTGTTTATTTATTTTTGCTTTTTGAGATAGGGTTTCTCTGTATAGCCCTGGCTGTCCTGGAACTCTGTCTATAGACCAGGCTGGCGTTGAACTCAGATCCCCTGCCCCTGCCTCTGCCTCTGGGGCATTGGGATTAAAAGTGTGTGCCACCACTGCCAGGCAGCATTGTTGTTCTAGAGCACTTAGGGAGTCTCACGGATAAAGAGAAGTTGTGCAGATAATTCAGCCAAGTGGATTCCGCACGTTTCTCACTGACCTTGTCGTTAATCTGTAGACTTCACCAGCATTGCAAGTGAGCTCTTATCATGTTGCATTGACTGATCCTGACCCTGTAGCATTTGCTCATGTGCTCTGTTATTTCATTCATTCTGTCACTTTTTCTTAGAGACAATAGCTATAGTTTTACACATTTTTACCCTGTAGTTTTCAGTTCTGTGTGCTGCTTGCAGGATGCAGTCAGTTAATTGGTTTGAATGGTTTGGGCTGAGATGAATCAGGTCACTGCTCTCTGTGCTAATCTGTGTTTTCTTAGTTCAGTATAGCAGTAGAATGTAAGCAGAATCTTAAATAGACCCAAGGTGAAAACCAAACATGCAGGAGCAACTTTGTGTAACAGCATTTTAGCCTGACTTGTCAAATAGAATGGCTATAGGGTGTAAGGATTCTAGCACCTTCAAAGGTATCCCTGGTGAATGAAAGGTGGGAGGGGTAAAAGATGGGGTTCCTGACTTTCACTGACAGATCAAGGGGCATTATCTGTAAACAGTTGGCTGCCCTCGTTTAATCTATTCTACTTATTTATTCATTTACTTTTAAATCTTTATTTTTACATGGGGGTGCGGGGGAGGGAGAATGGGTTTATGTGCATGCCTGCAGAGGCCTGAAGAGAGTGTTGGATCCGCTGAAGCTGAAGAAGCACGTGTTTATGAGCTGCCTGATACGGTTGCTGGGAATTGAACTCAGGTTCTTGGAGAGAGCAGCAAGAACTCTTAACACTTCATCTATTTTAGGTATCAGCAGGATCTGTAAGGCAGTTTGGTCTGAGCTCAAAGTGAAAGGGGACTAGTGCATGTTCAGCCTCTTCCAGTAGGTGGCAGAAGAGTGCTTTGCATCACGCCTGTCTTTGGGTTGCATAGTCCTAGGTACTGAATATTCTTTTAGTTAAGGCCATTGCTGATACCTTTTTCTTTTCTTTTTGTTTTTGTAGACAGATCAAAGTGATACTGTGGTTGTTAGCTGTAACTTTACATCAGATGTTATGAGGAGCTAAAATAATAGTTTACTTTGTATAGGTTTTATTTGCTAACAACTCTTTAACTGCAATTTTTACCCGCTACATTATTATTAATATTTCAACATATCATTTTCTGCCTCACAGCCTCTTGTAGAGAACCCAGCTGTTATAGTCTGGAATGAAATAAGATCTTATTAAATAGCACATAAGTATTTCATCACATAGCTTTGGGGGCATTTTGTGTCTGTGAAAAACATTCATGTTTTTTTTTTTCTTTTGTAAACAAACCCAAAACTGAGTTGCACAAGAAGCATTTTAATGCTAGTAGTTAGGTGGGGCTGGTTTCTCTTCCTCGTTTGCTTTACTCGCCTCCAGGAAGCAGTGTCCATACTGTGGGGGAGGTGACTCTGTTCTACCTACTGCTCAGGGATGGTAAGCTACAAAGTGCTGATCTTTGAAAAGGCCAGAGTGGGTGGCAAAAGTCTGTAGCTTGAACAGTCGCTTAGCAGATAATTCTTGTGAATTTTTCTTCCCATGGATCTATTGATTTAGGAGAGAGTTTTAAAACTGGTTTTTAAAAACAAAGTAGTACTGAGGTTTCTTCCATTTTTTTCCCCCCACATAAGCGCTTGCTAATTCTTATAAACTCGCAGGATCTATAACTGAACTCCAAGTCCTATCTTAATCATGCAAACATGCTTCATCATGGTCCTGTCAGTCAGCCTGTGTCTCCCCGGATTGTCTGGTGGAGTGCAGAGACTGCCTCTGGTCTTCGCCTTTGCCGCTCTCCCCACCCTCTTAAACTCTAAAACAAGTCTGGCCAACCACAGGACACTGTAATTCAGAGCAGCCATCTTGCTCACATGCTTCTCTTTAAGCCAAGAAGCAGCAGCACAAGAGAAAAAAAAAAAGAAAGAAAAAAAACAGCAAATAGCTGACAACAAAAGAGAAACCATGGGATAAGGCTTCGATGAGCCCTCTCAACAGACACACTTAACTTAGCAGGAGTGGGGAGGTGCTGTGAGCCTGCATTCGGGGTCTATCCTTAAACAGTGTTGCTCTTGTCCCCCTCCTCCCACTGACTCGGGCTTTGATAAATTCCTACTGAAATGTATTTTCCACTAAGATACAACTTCTGCTAAACCTGGGGAAGTCTTCAGTGTCATTCATAGTATTTACCCCTTCACAGTCTGTGATAACTGGCTGAGCCATACTCCGCCTGCCCTGATAAGAGTTGTTTTGTCTCAGCAGCTACTGATGTTTTCATTTTGGTTTAACCCTAGCTGATCCTACGGTTAAGGACTTAATTGGAGGCTTCACCGCTCTACATTACGCAGCCATGCACGGCCGGGCCCGGATTGCACGCCTGATGTTAGAGTCTGAATACAGGAGTGACATTATTAATGCAAAAAGCAATGATGGCTGGACTCCTCTCCACGTGGCTGCTCACTATGGTAGGGACTCATTTGTCCGGCTCCTCCTGGAGTTTAAGGCCGAGGTCGACCCACTCAGTGATAAAGGTACAACGCCACTTCAGCTCGCCATCATCCGAGAGAGATCAAGCTGTGTGAAAATCCTCCTGGACCACAACGCCAACATCGACATTCAGAACGGATTCCTGTTGCGCTATGCTGTGATTAAAAGCAATCATTCTTACTGCCGCATGTTCCTTCAGAGAGGGGCAGACACAAACTTGGGGCGCCTAGAAGACGGACAGACTCCTTTGCACTTGTCTGCCCTTCGTGATGATGTGCTCTGTGCACGGATGTTGTATAACTATGGAGCAGACACGAACACAAGGAACTATGAAGGTCAGACCCCTCTGGCCGTTTCAATAAGTATTTCAGGAAGTAGTCGGCCGTGTTTGGATTTCTTACAAGAAGTCACAAGTATGTAACATAATTACTACTCTTATTGAATCTTTCCCTCTTAATTCACACTTTCTGAGTTGCTTGAGATATTTTTGTAATACGAGATGACTAGACATTAATCATTCCTATAAGTCGCACTTGGTAAGTAATACTCACTCATCCAAAACCCAATTGTGTTACTAAAAGTGGACAGTAAAGTTTAGAGGAAATGACAGACATTTTTTTAGGATGAACAAGTTTTGATGGTAGAACAAGGCAATTCCCACTGGTCCAAACAATAGCCTGTCTGTCTAATACTGTGTAGGATTCAGATTGAGGAATCAGAAGGAGAGTTTGGGGTTTTAGATTCCTTAGCTATAGAGATAGTCCAGATTCCACACTTTATTACCAAATTCCAATGATAGGAATGCCACTCTGGCTTATTTAGATAGCCCAATAATGGAGGTTAAGGATACTAGAAATTATTGTGAGAAAGCACTAGGAAATTAGGCACTATGTCCCTGGGCCACACAGCTTCTATCGATGTCTGCTCACTTTCCGAGAGACGCTACCTTGACACCTCCCAGTTTGATTTATCTAATGTAGGAGCAACGGGTATCCACATTGCTCTCTGAGGGCAGTGTTAGTCTTCATGGATGTCCTTACCTTTTCTTGTCCTGCTTCTCTGGGGCTGGCCAAGTGTGTGTACCAAAGGTTAGTGTGTGAGCTCTGTCAACACCATTCATTTACTCTCTGCTGTCCAGCACCTAGCTGCCTTCCCACATGATCTCAATTCAGAAGAAAGACCAGCTTCTGATTATGTGGCTCTTACGAGAGGCCAATTTTAGTTCTGAGTTTTTAAATTTGGAAGCCAGGGGGCGGTGCCAGTAAACAAAAAGGACGGAGAGCCTGGAGTGTGTGGAGGTTTGTCAAATGACAAGTTAGCGTGGTCGTCAGGACAGACCACTGCCTAATCCTAAGGAGATGAACTGCCCTTTCCCCTGTGGCCAGGCTAGAACTAGAGAGAGTGGAATTATTTGTCCATGGGTCCTCCACATGGACATTATTGCGGAAGCAGGGGGATCTTGGGGATTTGGACCTGTGTGGTTGGGTTACAGTTAAGGGCGAAAGCAGGTTGTAGAAATGCTTGCCTAAACAAAAAGGTGAACTTAGTAATACAAAAACAAAACAAGGGAAAGCTGAAGAAAGATTGTTGAAATGATGCAATTGTATAACTTTGTGAAAATATCTAAGTATAGCATAACATGAGGATATAGTTATCCTCTAATGGAACCTGCCAGAGAACTAGTTTTAATTTAGCTGAGATTTTTGTTCTCATCATCTTCCTTCACAGTGTAAAGTTCTCTGGTTAACCGGTAACTACAGACTACAGAGTTGTTCAGAATATGGAATATGTTCTAAAAGTGTATTTATGTGTATGGGTGTTTTGCCTGCCTATATGTCTGTGTACCGTGTGTGTATAGTATCCAAGGAGGCAGAAGAGGCATAGGGTCCTCTGTACCTAGTTATAAGAGATTGTTGGCTGTCTTGAGGGTGCTGGGAACTGAACCCAGGTCCTGTGCAAGAGCAGTACTACTGAGCCAGCCCCAGAATGTAAAATCTTCTGAGAAAGACAGACAAATTTCATGAGAGGGCTTAACCTTGGGCAGAGACTAACAAGGACTGACTTTGATATTAAAAGATGAGAGTTTAATGAATTCATGCCTGGAATTTTATTCACAGAGAAATTTGTAGTACCAGGCGATGGCCCGTCTAGAAATGCCCAAGCACAGATTATAGGCTAGATGATTAGGTACACCACCACCTCTGTGCTGCACCAGCCGCGTCTGCAGTGGGGAAAGTGGAGGGCTGAAAAGAGCCCTGGTGGTTCACAACTGAATTGAGGAGACTTTGGGTTCGAGTCCAGGCCAGGCTGTGTTGGACTACTGGGCTACAGTCACAAGACCCTGTCTCCAAAACACAAAATAAATAAAGAGCTGGTGGCCTGCAGTTGCTTGTGCATACCGTCTGGAAAGCAGCTAGAGTGCAGTACTTATAAGGAGGCTGCCTCTGCATTTGTGTGTGGAAAGGCTGCATACCTCAGAGGCCTTTCCTCATGAATGTTTCCCCTAAGGCAGGAGACGGCCATGTTCAGAAGACAAGGCAGAGTCAAAATTGGGGCCAGGCAAGTGGAGTCAGGCTTCTCTCGGGGCATCTGGCCTCCTCACTTTGCCAGGGCTGTCCATATCTGCACTGTGTGGGAACCTCAGCTCTGCAGAACTGCTGCTTCATTAGGGCATTAGTCAGGATTTCCCTTCCTCTAATGTCTTCATTAGCTCTAAATGAATAATCATAGTTACTCTAAGTTCTCCGGCTTAAAGTAATTGCAACATCTGTGGCACATCTACGTCTGCTTCTGATACTAGCTTTATCTCTTTAGCTGCTTTTCTTTTTATCCTGCCTAGCATGATGCCGAATTCCTTTTTTTAAGTTGAAGCTAGCCATGATGTGAAGAGCAGCAAGAACTCTGGTGATAGTGCACCTCCACCCCCACTTTTTTCCCATTTTGGCCCTTTGAGACCCCTTGGCTATATAACTCTGCCTGGTCTGTGACTTGCTGTATAGACCAGGCTGTCCACAAACAGTGCAGTGGATTCCTCTGCCTCTGCCTCCCTAGTGCTATGAGTGTATGTGTGAGCCACCATGCCCTACTTCTAATAGTCTTCATGCAAGGCTTCCTATTAATTTGGCTAGGCATGGGTTGTGTTTGTGTAACTACAGATAGCTGGATGCGCAAAGTTCTCAGGTCTGTCAGCTTTAGCCCACTGTAACTGCACTGGAGCCCTGCTGGTGTAGTTTTAAGGTGTGGTGGTGTAATCTTCTAATTAAATTCCAGTGTTTTAAGTGGCCCTGTGTCCCCAGGCTGGAATCATCATGTGTGTTTTCCCTTGGGTATGTTTTTTTCCTCCAGTCCTGTCAGGTGAGCTAGGAAGGCCAAATCTGAGAAGTGTCTACTCCTGGATGAGTCTCTTCCTTTGGAGAGTCCTACTTATAGATTGGCTTGGGGTGCCAGCTGTGCATACCCTCCCCTGCCATAGCCATCAGGGTCTTTATTGGTCTTCACTTTGAGGACTGGCAGGCTTCTTCAGACTGGCCCTTACTGGCTATCCATGGTCTCCAGTGTTTGTGTTTGTGGGCCCTATGGCTTCTGCTCAGGTAAGCATGTGTCAGCATCAGTGCTCTGGGTCTCTTGAAATCTCTAGAGCTTTTGATAAAGGTACCCTGCCTGTAGCCTCAGTGTTTTTGATTGCTCCAAGATTAGGCTTAGTTTTTAAAGTTGTGCAAGCTTTTTTTCTTCCAAGAACTCAGGAGTGATGATGTCTAAGCTCTACACATGCTAGAGTTGTAATGGCATGGCCATCTGGTTTTATCATTGTTTTTCATTTGAAGTGTGAAAGCATCCTCACCGTGGTTCTTTGAGATGAGGAATATTTTGCACACTGGGATCAGAAGCTCCCCTCTCTCCATCATCACAGGCTCTCAGCCGTGCCCATGTCAGATGCTGTTATACCAGCACAGTGCCACAAATGGCTTGCTTAATAACCTGGGGCAAGGTCTTCAGCCCCCAGCCCCCAGCCCCACCCCCACAGAGTTCAGTGCCTTACTCAAAAAAAAGGGGGGGAGGGGGAGGAAACTGGACCTAATTCTTGCCATCAGCAGCTACTTTTAAAGGCCATGGTTTTCTGTTACTTAGGAGGGAGGAGGAGGAAGGGGCAAGGGAAGGAAGGTGAGAAGGCAGACAGAGAGGAGGGAAAGAGAGGGCCATATAGAACTAATTGTGGTTCATTTTTCCCAAAAGATGGGCTTCTAGGAGTCCACAGATTGCCTTAGATGGCCGTAAGGTCCAGGTGTGTAGCTGGGGCTCTTGCCCTTCACACTGTGATGACCTCTGTGCTGCTGATGTGTAAGCTCTGGAGGGGAAACTGCGTCCAGTTTAGCATGACAGACAGCCTGGTGGGGACGGTGCTGACGAGGACTGTTCTCTTCACTGCTGGGCAACCTCGTCATGAGTATTCCAACCCATTTACAAATGTCTGTGACAAAGCAGGAAACGTAATTGAATTAAATCTTGTCCCTTTGTGCACATACCTTTTAAATGTTCTGTAGACGAAAATGACTGAGCGGTGGTGAAGTGACAGGTTTGTTTGAGCTGCACCAATAGCTTTTTTTTCCATGGAGAACCATTTTTCCTTGAAAGATTGACTGACAGTCAAAGTATACCGTTTAATCATGGGCACTTAGCAGGCATTTGCTTGGAAATGCACAAAGTTCACTTGTCACTTTCAGGAAAATGACCACAGTATTGATGACCAGTCAGAGCTTGAGCTTTGAAAAGAGTGCTTTTGAAAACTTGCATTTACCATTGTGAGAATCCTTCTGTGTAATATTTTTTCTGAGATTAGTGGAAATATTTTTTTAAAAGTATCATATAATGAAATTGGCTAACAATTTGAAGACATGCATAACCTAGTATGCTGTGTATTTCTGCTGACTAAGTTATGTTCCTCTGTGTATGGGTCAATGGTCCACTAAAAGTTTAAGTTATACCAATGGACTATAATGTAAAAGTACAAAAAGTTCATCAATGTAGTTTCAGATCTAGCTGTAGGGGCTGGGGAGATAGCTCAACTGGTTGTATTTGCAAGTAAACACAAAGACATTAGTTTGGATACCCAACACCCACATACAAAGCTGGACATAGTAGCATGATTTTGTAACTCCAACATGGGGGGAGTGGAGACAGGAGGATCTCTGGGGCTTTCTGGCTAGCTCCCAACAAGTTGGTGAAATTCAGGTTCAGTGAGAGACCCTGCCTCAAAAAAATAAGGCAGAGAGCAATTGAGGAAGACAATATTTATGCTGGCTTCCACTCATTCTACACATGCTCCTATGCACATATGCAATACATACACACACACCAAATCTAAAAAGAAAAAGTCCCTCGTCTCATTTTAACAGGGTTTCATAGAGTATCCAAG